ACAATGCCTAGTCATTCTTCAGGCTAGCACTTGTGAAATGGATGTTCAGAACAAGCATTGAACACAAATTTATATGTATGGTGGTAGCACATAAAACTTGTCTCCTTATGTAAAGCCCAGGTTTTGTTACTTTTTTAAACCAACTGTATTTTTACCTGTAAATATCAAGCAATTATCAGTTTAATTTTAACCAATATTTAGTAAAATGTTGACCGAATAAGATTAACTAACAGGTTTAAAACACACTAAAGCTGACCACAAACCACTTGCATTTTCCTTACATCAGCAGTATTTACCGACAACTCTATAATGGTAGACCCTATAAACTAAATGGAATATTTAGGCAGGCTCATGTACTACACAAGTATTTGTAAATATTACTGATCTAACAAATCCAAAAAAAGTTTCACCTCATGTATTGCCAGCTTAAAGTAGAACTAAAGCCCAAACTTTTTTTTTTATTTTAGCTATGGATAGAGTAAGGGAGGGTTATAAGCACTGTCAGTGCCATCTTTGTGTAATTGGGGAGATTTCCCTTCACGTCCTGTCAAACAGCCACTACAGGAAGTGAGAGGAAATCCCTCCAAAGAGAGGGACCAAAACTAGTGTCCATCCATTCCATCTATTCCTGTTCTGGTGGCAACCCAGAATTTGGAATTTCCTTTACTTTCAGTGATAAAGGTCACTAGGACAAACAGAGAGGTTGAATCTCCCTAAAAAAAATAGAGACAGACAGCAAAAAACCTAACAGGAGTTTTAATCCACCTCCACTCCATCAAAAAAAAAAAAAGTTTTTGTTCCAGTTGCCCTTTAGGGCTTGTTCACACCATCTCCTGACCAGATCTGGTGTGTTTCTGCAAACGCGGTCATGTGCGTTTTTGATGCATTGCGTTTTTTGCTTATCAATAGGATTTCTGGTGCGTTTGCATGTGTTCACGTGCGTTTTTGTGTGTTCCAGCCCAGAAAATATGTGACATGCTGGACCTTTTTGAAAGCTCTAGAACTTAACGCAATGGTGCAAACTCCACTCAGAAAAACCATTTGAATTTATGGGGATGCGTTTTTTTGGACCAGGCAGAAACCGCTCTGGTCAGAATCTGATCTGGAAATGGTGTGAACAAGCCCCTAAAGAGGACAAAAAACCCACAGGTGTTTTGCCATAATCTTCAAGTATGCATAGCACATTATAGCAGTCTTACCTTTTAGTCTGCCCTCCCACAGTGCTGACAGGTCCATACACCCCATTCCCTCTCTGTCATTTTCTTTTTTGCTTCTTCCTGACACAGCAATTTCTTTCTTTAGTCACTGTGCAGCCAGTGAAAATTTACTCCTGTGTATCTTACAGATGTTCAAGAGTGTATGCTGCGCTGTTTATGTATAGCAGGCAATTAACACACCAAAAAAAAATTGCTAGAAGGGGAGGATTTTTTTGGGCAGAAGAAACCTACATTTAATTTTTTTTTAAATGCCTTCCCCCCAGCATTTGTTTTAGGCTGTAGTATTACTTTAAGGTAAATAAAAGTGTAAAAAAAGCAGTTTGGCAAAGCTGTTTTTTTTTCCTGTCTGCATGGAATATATATATATATATATACATACATACATAGACTGAAACTGGGCAGCCAGAAAACAACATGCCAGAATTGCATGAAGATGGAAGTATAAACAGCATTACCTATGTGTTTAATAGGAAAAACAATTTGCAAAGTGGAATCATAATCACCTTTAATTACTCTGACTTCTCTAATAAAAGTAAACCTCTGACTGGTTGCTGTGGATTATAACACTTTGTGCATCATTATAGATGATTATTACATTGCTTTGTAAAAATCAGCCTGATTGTCTTGACTAGAAGAGTAAAAAATGAATGGGATTGCAAAGCTAATGTAAAAATAATTTGTCAATGGCCACCTCGAGGACATTCAAGACAAAACATCTCAAGGCAATGCCTGAGCTATGCTGGAAACAAATTTACATTCCATGCTAAATTACAACACCGTACTCCATACATCAATTATTGTAATTGTGGGTGGTGTAACAAAACAGATGATGCCATGCACATCAATAATTTAGGTCAAATGTTGCCAGCACACCAAGATCTCCAATTGTTCAAACCAATGCATTTAATTAAGTCTGATATCTATAGGTCATAAATGTAAGTCCCGCTATTGAAAACTTTACTGCGCTGGCCAAATTTTGCATAAATTATATGTTGGCACATAAACATATTTTATACTATTATTACACATAACATAAAACAGCAGTTTAATAATATATTAAAATAAACTATAGCGTAAATGTCTAAAAATAAATACATTTCAATATAATATTCCTAGCATGGGAGAAAAGTAGCCCTTATTTCTAGGAAATCTTCAAATATTAAGTGAAATCAATCCACCACCAGTGATGTATGCAAAATATTACCATAGTGAAATTCTCAAACTCTGGTGCTCCCACTGTGCTTTCTGTCCACCTTTAGAAAAGCTCACTCACCAGGTATGAAGGACCTTTAAACAATAAAGGTCTCAATGTGCTTAGACATGGCTTCCCAATCTTTATAATTCCAATTCTCATATGGATAACCAGTTGTTTATTACAAAAAGACATGAGCAAGCAAGCTCATAGTAAACTAACTACGCATGGCCTGAAATTTCGTCCGAAAATTGTATTTTGGGTAAAATGTCGAAAGTACCATAACGGCCGAAAATTCAGTGTATCCTGACTGCTTCTCTCCTCCCCACTGGGCGCCAGTCTGTGTCCCCCCTGATGCCCGCTGCTCTCCCCTACCAGTGTCAGCAGGGGCAGAGGGGATCTGAGGGGACACAGACCAGTGCCCAGCAGGGCGTAGAGAAGGTTTCAGGAGCCTGAGCGGGAAAGAGACAGCACAGGATGCTGAGCGGGGCGGGGTGGAGACAGCTGTCACTGCCCCACTCGGCTCCTGTGACAGGAGGAGGGTCAGGATGGAGAGTGGGGAGGAGTGAGCTGTCAGGAGGCTGAGCTCTCCTCCTGCACCGCCCACTCAGTCTCCTGTAACAGGTGAGTCAGGATGGAGAGTGGCTTACAAGCACTCAGCGATCAGTGTTTGTAAATAACTGAGGGCATAGTATGCTTACTGTGTCGCCAGTTATATGAACAGGAAGTGATCTACATCACTTGCTGTTCATTCATAATTGTGGACATAGTAACTGACACTATATCCACAGTTTATGATTGGACAAGAGCACTAAGTATAGAAGCTTCCTGTTCATTCCTAACAGGGGCTGCAGAAAAAGAGATTTAGATATTTCCCAACAGCCCCTGACAAAAATAAAATAATGTAAAAATAATGTAATTTTTTTTTAAAAAAAGGTTGTGGAAAAAAACTTAATTTTTTGTTTCGGACAAATTTTTTATTTTCAGTTTCGGCCTAAAAGATTCATTTTGGTGCATCTCTAATAGGAACGCTTAATAAAACCAACTTTTTATTAAAATACACAAAATGTTCATATTTAAAAAGTGTACCAAGCACAATGAAAGTCTGCCTTAGCCACATAAAATATCTTGTTTACAGTGTCTCCTGCTTACTCCCCTGACGAAGTTCTAAGGACGAAACTAGAAGGGCAGGACCTAAAAAGATGCATCATTATGTCACATGACCGCCAAGTGCGCAGAAGGATTATCCAGGGCTTTGTGACAGCAGGAACAGGGAACTGGTGTATTAATGTGAGTCACAGTAGACAAAGTATTTTATGTGGCTAATGATTGGTGCACTTTTTACTGTGAGCATTTTGTGTTGCTAATGATTGGTGCACTTTTTAAAACTAAGCATTTTGTGTATTTCAATAAAGAGTTGGATTTGTCAAGCCTTAAGACACTGTTAATAATGTGCTTGTGTTCTCATGTCTTTTTGTCACTAAACAACTGATGAACCACATGGGGATTGGAGATATGAAGAGGTGAAAGCCCTGTCTTTATGCTTGGGATTAACATAAGGAGAACTTTAATCACATTGGGACCAAGGATGAGCTCAGGATCAGACCGACTATGGACCGAACCTGAGCCATGGGCCACCCACCCAATCAGCTGCATTACCGTGTATTTCCCACCCCACACCTGCACATAAACAAAGGGGGGTGCTTGTGCTGATGTCATTAACCTTATATAGCCACATGGCCATATAAGGTCAGTGTCACTGGGGGAGCTCAGGTTGAGGCCTTTTTTTATTCAAAAGATAAAAGTCAAGCTTTTTTTTTTGGCTAATGTACTACTGTGACTTAAAGTCAGCAAATAGTGGGTTTATATCTGATATCACCCAAATATCCAGATGCACTTTGGCTGCCTAAGTGACAGCTGACCTCTATGTATGTGGCTGAGGGACAGAGCCAGAGCCAGTCGTGTCTGCACCCTTACCTGTCTGTCCCGCCTGTGAGTGCTGAATGAACAGAGATGTGAGTGGGAATCCCTGAGGGGACCAGTGATTGACAGTTACTGCTCTACACTGGGAGAAGAGACTGAGAGCCCTCAGTATTAGAGCAAGAGTGTGACAGCTACACTGCCCCACGTCGGCTCTAAGTATGTTTTACTCTAGGTCCTCCATACCTGGTAAGTGAGTTTTTCTGAAGGTGAACAGAAGGCACACTGGGAGCAGTGAAGACTTTTGTATATTTCACTAGCAGTGGATTAATTTTACTTAATATTTAAAGATTTTCTGGAAATGAGGACAATTTTGTTTACTTTAGTGATCCTAGCATATGAGGCCTGTATTTATTTTTGGATACTTATACTTTTGTTTATATTAAGATATTACTCAAGTGATGTATTAAAATGTGTATTAATAGTATAAGTTATTTGTTTAACAGCATCTTCTTGCATATTTGTTTTTTTTTTAAGGGGTCATTTTGGACAGCACATCAAGGGCAAAATTCATTATACACATCATTTGCATCATAAGACTTAAAACAATGTGCATATTCTATCCATTATCCATATTCCACATATCAAAAGGATAACCAACAAGGACTTACCTTGCCATACTGTTCGAAGTATTGCTTTACATCTTCTACTACTGTATTTGCTGATAATCCTCCAACAAATATTTTCTTTGTTCTTGTGACCATCTACATAGGATGACAAGAGAGACACGCTCTAATCAGATTATTCAAAACTACAAAGTGGGACAAAAATAAGATTCAGATAGCACTGTTAATCCTGTTAATTAAATTGATGCATCCATGGAAGGAATTTACAGCTCAGAAAAAACTCTAGCCTATTTATTTTATATCTTTTATTGCTTCTATGAGGAGACAAGGCCTATGTGACTCATTGACACAACATCCAACAGACTGAGAAATATTGATCACTTTGATAGAGACACATGGATAAAAATAAAATTATCTGCTCTGAGGAAACACAAGAATATAATGAATGACATGGTTTACTTTAAAATTTTCTGATGCTGCTATGTGATCTGGACCTTTCCAACATGAACACATTGAACTAAAGTCTTTAGCTTTAGCATTTAGTTGTATTTGAATTACATGTACATATTGGTTTAATACATAATACTAATAAATGTAATCAAATTAAAGCTATTCACAAGATAGCTTCATTCAGTATGAGCAATGAAAATAGGGCATCTCTAGCAAGTTTGAGATTCTTTGCTCAAGGATGTAATTTTGATGTCAACATTTCCATTCTTGAACCATAGAATGAGTGGAAAACAAGCCTGAACATCAGCCAGACTACTTAGCCAACCCACATATGCTTGAATCTGGTACTCCAAACTTTAAAGATTGTGGCATACATGAGTAACTTTAAAGGTAGTACACTCTTGTGTTTCTTTAGCTGTGTAACTAACAATCCCAGCAACTAATAAGATTACATGTTAACTATGAATGCATCGAAATTTCGACCGCCGAATAATTTTGTCCGAAAATGGCAATATTGGCCATTTGCAGAAAGTGCCATGATGGCCGAAAATTCGCAGTTAGCCCAGCTTCTCTCCGCTGGGCGCCGGTATGTGTGCCTTCCGATGCAGAGCCAGTGCCCAGCGGGGAGGAGAGAAGCTTTCCTGATGGAGAGCGGCGCTGCGACAGCTGTAATCATTGCAGGAGGCCAAACGCTCTTCCCCACCTCCCGGCTCAGCCTCTTGTGTCAGGATGGAGAGCGGTCCGAGGCGATGACAGCTGCGATCTGTCACAGGAGGCGGCATTCTCCTCTCACACCTCCCGGCTCCGCCTCCTGTGTCAGGATGCTGTGCAGGGCGGTGACCGCTGTGATCTGTGTCAGGATAGAGAGCAGTGATTGGAGGAGAGTGCCCTACTCTGTCACAGGTGGCGGAGCTCTCTTACCCCACTGCCCACCCCCCTCCTGTGACAGCCGATTAAGGATGGAGAGTGGGGTATACAAACACTCACCGATCAGTGAGTGTCTGTAAATAACTGGACATAGTGAACAGGAACACTCAGTATAGAGACTTCCTGTTCCTCTATAACAGAGGCTGCAGAAAAACAGATTGAGGACTCTGTGTCCTCCATCTCTTTTTCTATTTTAAAAGGGAAATATCAGGAATCTGTTTAGACCCCATATATTTCCCTAGAGCCCCCGACAAAGTAAAAAAAAAAAAGAAAAATCAAAAATAATATTTTTTTTTAAAGATTAGAAGAAAAATAGTCATTTTCGGTTTCGGCCTGACTATTTTTTTTTTTTAATTTTTCGGTTTCGATCTCAAAATTCCATTTTGGTGCATCCATAATGCTAACAATACTAGAGTAGTTGTGCAATATGGTCTAAAGTAGGGTTGTACTTGGTATATAGAAAGAAGCATTTAGACCATTTGCATTCATGACCAAAGTTTCGCTGTTTGATAAAACAGTAGCAGCTATTTGCTGGCACTAAAGTTTTACATAAAACTTCTGTATGGACAAAGCATAGAACATGTACGGCTTGTAATAAACCTTGGAGAACTAATAAAATATTCCACACTTAAGTTGAGCAGCCCACAAAAGCTTACACCAGTCCACAGACCAATTGGCAAACCCAAGCTGCCAGACAGGATACAACTGTTTGCATTGGAAAAAAGGTTTGAAAATGGAACAGTCTCTAAAAGTTAAATGAATCAGGAACAACATAAGTTGAACAGCTAAGAAAAATTGCCATTTAAATTGCAATTAATATATTTTGATCAATTCCAGGCAGTCTTGATTGGAAAATGTTCAGCACAGACAATAAGATAATTAATCAGCTAGACCATAAGCTTTTGGCTGGGTTGAACAAACTGAGAACACAATCCAATTCTGATGGCATTTATGACATTTAAAAAAAAAAAACTCAGCTGAAAATGAAAAGGCAAAAAAGAGTCTGAGTACTAAAATGCATGTCCACCAAAGAAATCCTAAAAACACAGTCCGATCACGTAGCTCCTGTGAGAAAATGTATTCTTCTTTGCTGGCTAAGTGACGTTTAATTGTTACTTTATAATTTATTGCACGGTTCGTTGAGTACAAAAAGACTTGCCCAGCCTTCACTCTGTAAAACGTGCACAAACACTGATGTGATGAAATTGTAAGGCAGTAGGTAATAGCGTTGACTGGGGAAGAAGTGTTGATAAGAAAGGTTGTTTTGAGATGTCTGCCTGGCTGTTGATTTGTTTGTGTATGTGTGGCATTCTAGGCACTAGAGACTAAAATATCAGCTGTCTTTTCCATACCAAAGATCTAGCATCTGGAGAAGGAGGGACAAAGACCCACGTTCCCTTCTTCGGGTGTCAATGGTAGGTCAGAATTGCAGGACAACCAATGCATATGCAAAGCTTTCATTTTCACATGCAAATGAAGTCTATTCTTATTTTAAACAGAACTGCTATATGTAAATGTTCTTGATGCATGTGTATTGCCTAGAATTTTGCAAGCGTGACCAGGTTCAGAGATCTTATAGTCCAGTTACCTCGTTGTTGTACCAGGTGAAGAATCGCTTGTTTAACCAGTTCTATACTATATGCAGTTTTATTCTGGCTTCAAACTCAAATTCCTATTTAGGAGGTGTTGTGAATTAGGGATGCACCGATACTAGTATCGATATCGGTGCCGATACCGAGTATCAAATGCTCTGATGCCTAGCACGAGTACTTCCTATATCAGGAAGCCAGGCAGCGCGTCATTACACGCTGCCCGGTTTCCTGATTGGCCGGGAAGCGGCTCCATGCTCTCTCGTCACCTGTGATGAGAGCGCATGGAGCCGACTTCCCGGCCAATCAGGAAGCCGTGCAGCGTGTAATGACGCGCTGCCAGGCTTCCTGATTGATCGGGTAGCTGGCCAATCAGGAAGCCGTGTGCCGTGTAATGACGCAGCGCCCGACATTCTGATTGGCCGGGAAGCTGGCTTCATGCTCCCTCGTCATCTCATGACGAGGGAGAATGGAGCCAGCCTCCCGGCCAATCAGAAAGCAGGGCGTTGCGTCATTACACGGCGCTGGGCTTCCTGATTGGCCGGCCAGACGGCTCCGGCTGGGTACAGGGGAAGGCGGCGTTCTGGCTGGAGAGGCCCCGGGGGTGACAGGCTGGACATACCAAGGTAAGAGGGGACAGACTTTCTTGTTAATCGGGAAGCCGGGTGGCGAGTCTTTACACGCTGCCCGACTTCCCGGCTAATCAGGAAGCCAGGTGGCGAGTCATTACATGCCACCTGGCTTCCTGAATGGGACTTCCGTTACTCGGTAATTGGTATCGGCGAGTACCGAAAGAAATTATCAGTACTCGTAACCAAAATACCGGTATCGGTGCATCCCTATTGTGAATAGTTATATCTATCCCTATCGTCATGTGAGCAATAAGTGCAGTAATATAAGTGCAGTAATATAATCTGAAGGTTGAACTGGCTGCAATGCTTTTACAGTACTAAGATACAAAGGGCTTTTTCCAAAACTTCCTTTTCGATCTTCATGGGTTAGTGGCAATTACCTGGCTATCCCATTCAACAATTTTTAAATTCACCATTCGCCTTCGGGTTCCCTATGTGCTTTTGAGCTATGACTTCATAAAACCAAGCAGGCTTTTTTTTCTTATTTGCAACCTATTCAATGCAGAATGCAGATTAACTAAGCTAAACCACTCGCTCTGTAGTCATTTTAAAGTGCACCAGTACCCAGACTATGGATATTCAAGTATTTACAAATACTTCACAATTAGTAAATTAGATTTAAAACAAGCCAAATTCAACTGCAAAGTGCACAACACATGCACTGACATGGTAGCTTGAGGACTAATTACTTCACAATACCAGCAGCTACAAAGGTTGGGATTTGTTTTAACGCAACACTGTCACATACTGATGATTGCTACTTCAGTCACCAGAATTGGTTGCCTAAACTCTGTTGGAGAACCGACACTTCTGGGAGAGTGAAATTTTGTAGAACTGCTCTTACTAGTTCCTCCTGCTGTCCTCAAGTCAGTGCAGGAGCAGTTCTGGTGACAGGAGAGGTAAGTATTTTGTCTCTTCTGTAAAGATAAAGCCTGTTCTAGTAATTGAGGTCACATTAAAGCTCAATTACTGCTTAAGATTGTGTAAATATGTGAATGCTCATAGCCTAGCCACAAGTTCACTTTAAAAGGTGTACAACTCCTGTGAATGTAATTATGAATCTAAAGGAACACCCCATAGAGGAATACTAAGGGCTCATGTCACAGGACGTTTGGGTTTGGCTTGATGGCATGAGCTTGACATCTGCTTCATACGCTTCCAAGATCATTCAGAATTCACTAACAGGTGTTTTGACTTGCAATTGACCTTCTGACCTGCATTTGACCTGCTTCAAACGGTACTGCATTCCCAAATATTTGTATGGGAATGCAAAACCTGTCTAAAGCAAACAAAAGCCTACTGACACACAAACTAACCAAAAGAAAACAAACACAAGCTCATATTTAAAGCAGACATATCATGTGCATGCAAAGCTACCATAGGTACTACATGTTGACTGTTATGTGCCACAATGACTGTGTGTACAGGTACGCATAGAGATAAGATTATACTGACTGACTGATTCCATCGAATATTTAGTACATTGTGACAGATAATGAATATGATAATTATAAATATTAATTCGCAAGTATAAGAGTGC